GTGCTCAGCCCTAAACAGGACATTTATGTCACCCCTTCTAAGACTCAAGGGTCGCCAGGCGACTGTGGCGCACGCCTTTAATCCCAGCACTCGGGAGGCAGAGCCAGGTGGATCTCTGTGAGTTGGAGGCCAGCCTGGGCTACAGAGTGAGATCCAGGACAGGCACCAAAACTACACAGAGAAACCCTGTCTCAAAAAACCTAAAAAATAAAAAATAAAAGAAGAAAGACTCAGGGGACATTGTGGAAGAGCGGACCGAAAGAACGTAAGAGCTGGAGAATAAGGAGAGGGCAGTGAAACGATGTCTGCTGAGCATCATGTCACAGGAGCTGTGGCTGCCTACCATGGGCTTGCACAGGACTGAGCCTATCAACAGTCAATTATGGATTGGGGTGTGGCTCATGGGTCTCCCTGCTGAACTATTGGCTGCTGATCGATTCTGGGGGTGGGGTAGTTATTAGCTTTAGCTGTGTACCCACTGAGGCGCCCACCCAGCTGTAAGTACATAGTGTCTGGGTTAACTAGATCCTAAAAGACATGCCTATGGGTAGGATTATGATGGGAAACAGTGAACGATCGGGGTGCACTTTATACCCGCAGGACATGGTTAAAGAGCAAATCCAGGAAAAGAGTTCTTGAAGTATCTACGTGGGCCAGGGAGATGACTCAGTCAGTAGAGCGCTAGCCCCACAAACATGAGGACCTGAGTTCTAATTCCCAGCCCTCACCAAGAAGCTGGGCATGTCTGTAACCCCAGTGCTAGTGAAAGGCAGGGGGGTGGTCCCTGCAGCTTGCAAATCAGCCCTGTTTAGCCAAGCAAGCCCCAGGTTCAATGAGCGGCCCTGTCTCAAGACATGAGTGTGTAGGGATGGGACAGTGAGATGGCCCACTTGCTGCCAAAGCCGATGGCTTGACTTCAATCTCGTACGGCAGGAGGATAGAACTGACTCCAGCAGCTTGTCCTTTGACCTCCCTAGGTTCACCGCGGCACATGTACACACACACACAGGGTGGGGGGTTCATTTTAAAAAGTATAAAAGCGCAAGCAATTGGAGTAGGATGTGAGCGAGGGTGGTAGTGGCAACCGTACGCTTATGTCTGCTTACTCTCAGGAATGGTTTCCTTGCCTTGGTCTGTACATAAGAAGGGATGCCGTCCATGTGGAAGGTGACCCAGGAGCCACTGGCATCCCCTTGCATCTTTCTGTTGGAAAAGGCAGGCAACATTCATTCACCTAGCACCTTTCTTCTGCAGCAAGGGCACTCATTTGAATGAGGAAAGGTTTTCTTATGTGTGGGGTGCAGAACACAGTGAAGATGAAGGAATCCAGGGGTCCCACAAACAATGGGCCACAGGATCGTGGAGGGAAGAAGACAGGAGGTCAGTGTCTCCAGGTGCTTTCACACCGTCCTCATGACGGTATGAACGACAGCTGAGGAATTTCAAAGCTGGGCTGGGGCTGTAGCTCAGTTGGTAAAGAGCTTGCTGCTAGGTACAAAGTCCCGATTCAAACCCCCAGCATCACGTTAAGCAGACAGGTGGTACATGCCTGTAATAATACCACCATTTGGGAAGTAGGAGCAGAAGGAGGAGAAGTCCAAGGTCATCTTTGAGCTACATCGTGAGTCTGTGGCCAGTCTGGGATACATAAAACGTTTTCTCAAAAAGAAAGAAAAACTTCAAAGCCAAAGAGCAAAATACTACCACAAGCAAGATGGAGGAGTGCGATTCCATAGCCCTTTCATTTGGGGGATCATTTGCTGCTGCACATTGCCTTTGTAGGACCCAAGATTTTAAGAAAGAGGGATGCGCTGGGTGGTGGTGGTGCGTACCTTTAATCCCAGTATTCGGGAGGCAAAGGCAGGCGAATCTCTGTGAGTTTGAGGCCAGCCTGGTCTACAGAGTGAGTTACAGGACAGGCTCTAAAGAAACCCTGTCTTAAAAAAAAAAAAAAAAAAAAAAAGGTGTTTGATTGCCAAGTGTGCCAGGTTCTTATATACACTGTCTCTTAAGGATCCCCGGAATTATGATGACATCCTATCTTTTTGTTCCAGTCCAGGACCGTGCAGACCTTCATACACAGAGCAGTTTCCACATCAGCAGAGCCAGTGGTGTGGGTATTGGCAAGGCTATTCTCTTCTGCAGATCCAGTGATGGTCTTGGCTAAAGCTGCTTCTTGGCTGTGCTTCCAATCCCCAGCTGTCAGTCCGTCTGCCCCCTCTGGTGTCTGCATGTCGAAGTCACCCACATGCATAGCATTCAAGCTAATTAATATGCCCTCTGGCTCCCAGCAAGCGCCATGGCCTATGGCAGGTGGCAACAGTGACAGAGAGTGGAGTCCAATTTTAAGCAGTTAAATGTTAGGAGGGCAGAAGTCACCCTACGTCTGGACTTTACCTTTGAAGGTGGGTCCCATTGCTGGGCTTCCTTGACCTCTCCTGCTCTTCATGCCTATTAATAGAAAGCATCTCCTGGCTTGAAGAAGCCTCTGCACACCATTGCATTTTTCTTTTCCTCCCTTTCTCGGGGGAGGAATGAAGGTTGTGTGGCTGGTGTGGCAGCAGCAGTTCTTTCTGTGTTGAGAAAACCATACAGGGGTATCATTTGAAGTAGACGAGACGTATAAAAAAATCTTAGGTGCAGGGGAGGGTATTTTCAGAGGCACCTTGTATCAGACCCACCTCCTTAGAACAGTCATAAAAGTTGATGGGACAGAAAAAAAAAAACACCCACCTGTTTGGAGGCACTGCAGGCTGAGCAGGCAGCCAAGGTGTTGCCTGTGTTCCCCGTTCAGGTTGGAGCTGATCTGCATCGGGCCTGGAGGCAGAGGAAGGAGCTGTCCAGAGCCTACACAGTCTCAAGAAACTGGAGGATCCCAGAGTGTACTGCCACAAAAGCAATCCCAGCGTGATGAAAGAGGGAATGAGAATATGTTTGTGAATGCGGTATTCGTTTACAGTGAACAAGAAACAGACTGTTGGGTGAACTGTTGGTTCACAGAGTCTGGCTTCTCTCCCCTGGACATCAGTGCTCTTCAAGAGAAAGCAAGTTCTAATCAGGAAGAGGACTGGTGAGCGGGGATTTTAACTGTACCGGTAGAGTTCTGTTTCTCATGCAGCCGCCACGGTGCTTGGGCTGTGTCTCTGAGAAGGGGCAGCTTGTGTCCCCAGGTAGGGGCCCCCTCTTCCTGGACAGTTGCCCAGACAGGCACTGCCAGTTCAGCTCTTTCCTCTTCCGTTTTCTGTGGTCGCCATCCCCTTTAGTCTGCTCAGCAGTTCTTCACCTAGGACAAAAGGTGATTGATTTGATTTTTTTTTTTTTTTTGGTTTTTCGAGACAGGGTTTCTCTGTGTAGCTTTGCGCCTTTCCTGGAACTCGCTTTGGAGACCAGGCTGGCCGATTAATTTGATTTAAGCTTGTATGATGACAAGTCACAGCCTAGTCGCACGTGCCCCTAAGACCAGAGTGTGCTCTCATGAGAAAACTGGCTGTGCCCCTCTCTCTTCTGCTCCTCACTCAATGACATCAAGCTCGTGGTTTGAACTGGTAATCCTGGGCGTGCTTACGCCACAGTCATTGGCTAACATGGTAAACCATGACTTCACTGAGAGAGCCACCTGTTAAACAGTCACGGCTCGGCGCTGCGGGACGTCTTGATTGGATTTTGCGGTGTGGTGGTTTGATGAGATTTCCCTCAGAGACTCAGGCATTTGAACACTTAAGTCTCCTGTTAGAGGGACTGCTTGGACAGACCTAGGAGGTGTGTGGCCCTGCTAGAAGAAGAGTGTCACTGGCTTTGGGGTTTTTAAAGCGACAGGCCGTTCCCAGTTGTTTCTGCTTCCTGCTCGCAGTTTAAGATGTGAGCTCTTAGCTTGCCACTCCGGTATGCCCCGCCTTCCAGCTGTCACCCTTCCCTACCGTGATGCTGATGGACTCTAATCGCTCTGGAACTGTAAGTCCAAATAAACTCTTCCTTCTATAAGTTGCCTTGGCCGTCATGTTTTATCCCAGCAATAGAAAAATGCCTGACACGGAATGACACCAAAATTTTGGATCTCACATTTATAGAAATCCCTTGATTTTCCCTGCAAGCCATAAATATATCATTATTGTGGATTTCTAGAGAAAATCTTGAGTAACTTAGTGCCCTTTATCTTGAAGGTCAGGGGGCAGCTTAGCTTTGTCCTAGGGACCAGGCATAGGACAGACAGACTGTGCAGTGCCTCAAGAAGCCAAAACCAGTGATGAGGGAAGAAGAGTTAGGAGGCCATTTTGTCATCGACCTAAAAGGTGACACATGCCAAATCTGGGACGTTCATCTGCCATCTGCGCCATTACCTCTTCTGAGAGCAGAACTCCATTCTGCCACGAGAGAACTAAAGTGCTTCTGCCCTGAATGTCACATACATCAGAATAGGATCTTTCAGGTCATCGACATTTCTAGGGTTCTTCCAGGAGGTGGGTATGTTCAGATTTTATACCAAAGCTAAATTGTGTCAGTTGTTATGAGGGCAGGAAGTCTGTGGTCATGGGAGGTCAGCTGTTGGTGAGACTTCATGGTTTTGTTAAACCCACTTATACACAAGCATTTCATGACTATTCTCATTAGTGTACGTTGAAAACCTAATAATGTGGGACTGAGAGATGGCTTAGAGGTTAAGAGTGCTGGCTGCTATTCCTGGGGACCTGGTTTCAGTTCTCAGCACCCACAGGACGGCTCAAAACCAGTTGTAACCCCAGTTCCAGGGGGGATCCAATGTCCTTTTCTGGCCTCCTCAGGCATTACATGTGTGTGGTGCGCTTGCATATATAATAGACATACACATAAATAAAAACAAGTCTTTTTAAAAGCTTACTATGTATATGACCTGAGATTTTAACCTGTTAAAGTCCTGTAATGGTGGTGTTCTAAGCAAGGAAGTTTATCGTTCTGTGGCCCAAAGGTAGAAGAGTTCCATCAGAACTTAGAATGTTCCTGAAGTAATCCCCAGTGGGCGTGGTTTATCAGAAAATATCTCCTGTTAGAGGAGAGTCCCACGGAGTCCCAACTGAAAGTCAGTCCCAGATGAAGCCAAATGTTTATTCACTCTTCCAGGGAGACTGGATGCAGGAGAGGGAGTTTGAGGAAATCAACATCCTGGAGCACAGAACCTCTGTGATCCATCTGGTGAGTGCTTGTTTGTGTATCCAAAGCAGTACAGAAGTGCCCAAATGAACTTCCTCCTAGAAGTCCAGATTTCCCAAGGAATTGGGTTTAATGAAGGAGGGCAGAGACAGAATTTCATGCACTTGTCCTAAAGTGACACCTACCTGGGCTGTGGTGTAGCATTCCCAAAAGTCCTTTATAGGTGAAGTACAGTCAATTCTCTGAATCCAAAACATATTTTCTATCCATGGCTGGTGGACTCTGGAAATGAAGATATATCAGGCTTTTTCTTTTAGGCCACCAACCAGGTCCCAAATCATGATAGGGAGACTTGTTATTATGAATGCTTGGCCTAGCTTAGGCTTGTTTCTGGATAGCTCTTTTCTCAATAATTTATTTATTTTTATTTTTATTTTATGTGCATTGGTGTTTTGCCTGCATGTATGTCCATGTGAGGGTGTTGGGTCCCCAGGAACTGGAATTACAGGCAGTTATGAGCTACCACGTGGGTGCTGGGAATTGAACCCTGGGGCCTCTGGAAGAATACTCTGTGGTTGATATATTGTGCACCTCAAACTTATCTGGAGGTTAGAGAACAGAACAGCCATAATACTAAACATAGAAGTTAGGCAGTGGTAGCACACGCCTTTAAACCTAGCATTCCAGAAGCAGAGATTTGTCTGGATCTCTGTGAGTTTAAGGCCACACTGGAAACAGCCAGGCATGGTAAAAATCCCAGGAAGTAATGGCAGGAGACAGAAAGGTATATAAGGCATGAAGATCAGGAGCTAGGCCTGGTTAAGCTTTTAGGCTTTCGAGAAACAGTTCAGCTGAGATCCATTTGGATAAGGACTCAGAGGCTTCCAGTCTGAGAAAACAGGATCAGCTGAGGAATCGGCAAGGCGAGGTGGCTGTGGCTTGTTCTGCTTCTCTGATCTTCCAGCCTTCACCCCAATACCTGGCTCCAGGTTTGATTTTCATTAATAAGACTCTTTAAGATTCATGCTACAATACTCAGTGCTTTAACTGCTGAACCATCTCACCAGCCCCTCTGGCTAGCTCTTTTAACTAATTAACCTGTTTCTCTTTATCTGCCTTTTGCCTCGGGGCTTTTTACTTTTCTTCCTTCTGTAGATCTTACTTTCACTGCTTCTCATGTCTGCTGGCTGCCTGACTTCCGGCCCCAGGCATCTCCTTTGTTCTCTCCTCTCTTCTACTTCTTGTTCTTCCCCAAGCCTACATTTCTCCTCCTATTTATTCTCTCTGCCCGCCAGCCCCACCTATCCTTTCTCCTGCCTAGCTATTGGCCATTCATCTCTTTATTAGACTGATCAGATGCCTTAGGCAGGCAAGGTGAAACAAATGTAACACATCTTTACATAATTGAACACACACCCTTACATCATTAAACAAACGTAACACACCTTTACTCAGTTAAAGTAATATTCCACAGCATAAACAAATGTAACGCATCTTTACATATTAAAATAATATTCCACAACCTGAAGGCTAATAATATAGAAGACCAACTAAGGGGGCCATCCAAGGAGTTTAGTTTCCCATGGGGACCAAGGAACAACCTGTACCGCTGTCTTCTCTTGTGGCCCAGCGACACAGCCAATACAAGTACCCAAGGTTAATGGTGCCTGACCTGGGAGCTGGGGGCATGGCTCATCAATTAGGAATGCTTGCTGCTCTTCCAGAGGACCCATGTTTGGTTTCCAGCACCCACATGAAACAGCTCACCACAAACATGTAACTGATGGTATTAAACACCCCCTTCTGGCTTCTGAGGGTGGCTGAACACACAGGGTATTCGCCGAGACATACACATATACTCATAAATAAACATTTTAAAAAATATTTTTAAAAGCTACCTGACCTGGCATTTCTTGTGCCTAGCAAGAGGTTTAAAAAAAAATTTTTTTTGGGGGGGGGGGTTTTGAGACAGGGTTTCTCTGTAGCTTTGGAGCCTATCCTGGACTAGCTCTGTAGACCAGGCTGGCCTCGTACTCACAGAGATCCACCTGCCTCTGCCTCCCGAATGTTGGGATTACAGGCATGAAAATTTTTTTAAACATTTATTTGTGTATATGTATATACATGGGCGTGCCATGAAAAGCATGTGGAGGTCAGAGGATAACTAGCAGGATCCACTCTTTCCTCCCACCATTTGGGTCCTGGGGATTGAACTCATATTGGTGTGCATGTGTGCGTATGTGCGTGCGTGCGTGCGTGCGTGCGTACGTGTGTGTGTGTGTGTGTGTGTGTGTGTGTGTGTGTGTGTGTGTGCACTGTATAATCAGAAAAAAATTAAAACTGATAGTTTCTATACCAGATTAGTATTTTACACATGAAGATTGTAGTTTATGAAACATTATGTATGCTACATATAAAATTAATTAGATATTCTGTTAGTACTGTCATGGATCTTTAGATAGTACACAGTACCTTTATTACAGAGCTGACCTATATAATCTGTGACCGGATAAACAAAACTCATAGGTTCTTAGGACAACTACATTAACTTTCAAGTTCAACAAGGTGACAGCAATAAGAGCCTGCCACACAGACTCGTGTCAGATGCCAACCACTCCAGTTCTCTTCCACTCAGTGCTGACTGATCACTGTTTCCTTACGGCCTCTCTGGAGCATAAAGAGAGAAAGACCCTGCGCATCCAGCAGGAGTTGAACCAAGTCAAGTCTGAGATGGACAGGAAGATTGCCAAGAAGGATGAGGAGATGGACCAGCTGAAGAGAAACCACATTAGAGTTGTGGAGACACATAGAGCATGCTGGACACGGGAACCAGGAGCAGGAATGATGTTCTGAGAGTCAAGAAGAAGATGGAAGGAAATCTGGATATGTGTATGTACATATATTTGGTTTTTTGAGACAGGGTTTCTCTGTGTAGTTTTGGTGACTGTCCTGGATCTCACTTTGTGGACCAGGCTGGCCTTGAACTCATAGAGATCGCCTGGCTCTGCCTCCCGAGTGCTGGGATTATAGGCATGTCCACCGCCCGGCTGGATCTTGTATTTTATTATCCCTTAGAAATCTGGTTTTTCCTAACACAAAAGAATATACCTTCTTCTCAGCGCTCTATGGGACCTTCTCAAAAATTGACCACATGCTTGGACACAAAACAAATCTCAACAGATACAAAAAAA